GCAAATGCGAACATTCACAATGCCAAATGGCCAAACGCCAACGAGCATGGCACCCAGTTTTTGCCACTGCCATTCGCGTGACCACCGCCACCAGTACCAGCGCCAACATTTGCGCGAACCACATTGCAACGCGTCGCACCAGTTACCACGACATGCCCTAATTTCCGAGAGTGCTCACCCACCACCAGTGCAAGCGCTGACCGTGCATTTTCCTATAACTTTGCCTCGTCCAATCATGTTGGCCTTGGTCTCGTTCGTCCGTAGCCAAGGTGGCTCAGGGTGGCCTCAATTGCCTTGCGGGCCATTGCTCAAGGGCAGAAAAAAAAACGCTTCTACCCTGGTATACGAGGCGCTGTGCTCTATAACTCCTGTGGGCTGACAGGGTAAACCCTGCGCGATGTGCCGCGCCCTGGCGGCTCTAGGCTTTGGGGCCCCCAGGAGGTTTACAGGCCACGCGCTTGTAATCCAGGGTAGGGTCGTTTTTTTCATCCCTCGAAGTGCTTTCGTAGCATATGAACAAACTTTCGAGGGTTGCTCTCGCATTGCGCACAGGCCTACTCAAGTTCCAAACTGCCGCTGCTGACCTCCATGGCGCGGCCCGGTCCAAGTCCGCGGCCAAGGCGTTGATCGAAGCGTTGTCGGCCGAGTTCGAGGTGCCAGACGGGAGGTCGAAGAAGCGGGCTCGAGATTCCGAGGCCTGGGCAAGCATGAGGAAGAAAGCCAATCATTGGAAAACCCAAGCGAGGCGCCACAGAAGTGAACTGAAATGTCTTGTCAGGGCCAAGCACGCTTGGAGGATATCGAATCTCTGGAGGGTGAAGATAGCCACGTGTCCCCCGAGCGTGCCGTGCCAGACGTTTGAGAAATTCTCCCGTGACTTCCCAATCGCAGAAGTCCAGAACGTGTCAGCAACCTCGATTGCGATAACAAGGGATGCGTTTGCCCAGGTGCTGAAAAAAATCAACCACGATGTCATTGCTGCGCAGTCCAAGGACGCAAGTCGCACCCTGAACCGCGATGGGCAGGAGACGTCTTGTTTCGTCGTGGTGCACGTGCACGATGAGGCAGCTATGAAAGTGAAATCTTTTGATTTCGACGGGGCTTTTCGGCCTGGGCTACAGAACAGAACTGTCGGGCGATACTCCAAGGTGCAAAATCAGGCGGTCTGCGTTGATTTTGGACAGGCGCGGGTGCCAGTGCTCACCGAGCTGATGGGCATGTCCGTCAAGGACGCGCCCACGATTGCAGAATGTCTAATCCAGGTGTTCGAGAGCATTGCCCGTGCCATCAAGGATGGGTGCCCGCGCGCCACCGTCCGCATCGTCCACGTCGTCATTGGCGATGCCGTTGCCACGAACGAGGCGGCTTGCAAACGGCTGTTTGCTTTCCTCCATGCTGCGGAGCGCCAGCTGGGGATCAGATATTCTTTGGTCGTGGTCAAATGCGCAGCTCATCAGGCAAACTTGGTTGTGCAGTGCGCCATATGTGGCCGATGTTTACAGAACCCGCTGAACTCAGACGCGCTTTGCGCTGCCGCTTCCAGGGCGTTTAAGTATGTGATTCCGGAGCGCACGGAAGAAATGTCCGCGACCCTCCGGGCGTCCATATTGAGCCGAATGCACATGGCAGGAGACGGGACGGATGCCGCGTCGCAGGAGATGCGCCGGCGTTCGCTTCAATTGCAAGAGCTCTACGGCCACGGCGTCCTACCACCATCGTTGTTGACGATTTTGAATCGAAGCGTCCTGGCTATGGAACATTGCTCCTCTGAGGAGGCGGATAAGGAAAGCGTGCGTGGTGACCTTTTTCAGATATTGCTTCCCCTGGTGCTCAAGATTCAATCGAAGCCTATAACGACACGTTTTTTCTTATTTGCGCCTGCTGTGTGGGCCCTCCTTTTGATGGATATGTTGGGGCTTGGCAGAGACTTGTTTCCAGAGCAGAAGGGGCGCCTTCGGACCCAGGGCGCGAACCGCATCAAGGCAATGCGGGTTTTTTTCTGCCATCCACAGACCTCCTCGGACCTGCGGAAAGCGTCGCTGCGTTTACAAGTGAGCCACCGCGCTGTCAGCATGGCAAGCCAGAGCAAGCCGAAGGTGGACGACCCAAGACCACACTTCGTGAGGATTGCGCAAGGAGACATCCAAAAACACACGGGTGAACATCTGAGGCGATTGTTGCCCTTACTATGCGTGGACGAGAAGCTCGTTGTTCCCGCATGGTTGACGGCTTTGCTTGTGACGCAAGCGCACATTGTCATGCGGTTTGATATGTATGGGCGCTTTCCAGGGAAGTTGTGGATGATGTCTCGGCGGCACAATCCCATGGGCTACTCCCGAAAGCGCGAGGAATTCTTGCAGGTGCCCGACGACGACTTAGACTTGGGCTACTCTCTGGCGTTGAAGCGGGAGGCCTGGCGCTGCAGGAGCCTCAGCGACGCAGCGATGTGGTTGATGGCAGATGAAGTGCAGGAGGAAATCGACAAAGTGCTCGGTTCCATGTTGGCCAATAGTCTTGACGCGGAACGAAAGATTCATCAGGACAGGGCGCCAGACCATGCGAAGGCGAGGTCGTTGGCGGTAGCATCGCGGAATCAGCTGCTCCACCAGTACCATGTCGAGAGGGAGCGTTTCCTGGCCTGCAGGATGCGGGCGGCCAAACAGGCGTCTTCGTTGAAGAGATGCAATATCTGGTCGCTGGCTCGGCAGAGATGGCCGCACTTAGTCCCTCGGCCAAGGGGCTGTCGTTACGGTGATGATCCGCTGCGGAATGGTGTTCTTTCTTCGACTCTTGTGCACGAGGGCGATAAGGATGCGTTGCGGTCACAAGTCGAGGCGCACACAGCCGACCTGGAAGCGGAAGTCGCAGCTCGACAGGGCGAGGCTGCCCGCTTGGCCCGGCTGGCCAACGCGGCGCACGTTCCTGTGACGCAGCGGGACTGGCTCGAGTGGCTAGACACGAACGACGGCTTTTTTAGGCACTGTCTTCGAGAAGCCCCCGTGGAGAGGCAGCAGTTTAGCCGCAGAGTGACGCCGAGGGAGGGCCTCGCGGCCGTTGCCCGCCTGGGACCGAAGATTACGAAGGAACCGCCGCTGTGGGAGCGCAAAATCGCTCACCTACCATCTGGGTATGCGATGCTGCTATGGCAGCGCGGCGCCTCGGAACACAAGGTGTTGTGCTTCTTCTGCTGTCTAAACGGAGAGTGCCGGTACCTGCCATTGCTGAATTCCCGCCCAGGGTGCAATGAGTATTTCCTCCCTGCCCACACCGACTACGTCGCTGGTTTCCTCGGCGCCGCCTGCTTGGCGAAGACGCGCAACGTGCCCCACGACGATGCTGCCGTTCGGGTGTACACGTGCGGGATCGACGCGAAGGTCGCTCCGGATGGTATGGCCATCAAGTGCGTGGCGCCCCTGCTGGAGCACCGCGCCCCCGTGGTTGTCCCGCGCGCGCAGGCAGACGCCGGCGCGGCCGACGCGGGCGACGCAGCAGTGGGCGACGGCTCGGATTGCGAGAGCCTGCTGCTCAAGATGGAGGGAGGGGCAGAGGAAGAGGCCGAGGAACTCGTGCGCGACTTAGACGAGCAGGGTGCGGACGACGACGGTGACGACAAAGAGGGCGCCGACGGCGGCTCTCCTTCAGACAGGGCGCTCCCTGGGACTTGGACGCTGTTCAACAACGGCTACTTCACGCTGTCAGAGAACCCGGTGAAGTACGGGGATATGAAGATGAGCGTTTTGAAGCGGTGGCACGGCGAGGACTTCATGGGGAAACGTGTGCAGAGATCGAAGGCAGCCACGCTCAAACACCACGGCGATGACGCCCTTGCCAGGGACAGGACCGCGCTGGTCCTTCGCGCTTGGATGTTGTACAGGGTCCAGGTTAACAAGTTTGCCGAGTCCAGCCCTGCCAGAGCCACCTTCTTCTTCAACGAGCTTGAGAAACTGAAGGCCGACTTGCGGAGGATGGAGGTGCCTGGTGGCGGAACGGGGAACGAGGAGGCAGACGGCAAGATCCGGAAATGGGCCCCCTTGGCAATGACTTAGCAGCGAGGGCTGCGGTTTGGCCTGAAGGCGGGGCTCTCCGAACGTAGACGCGTGGGCGCCCGGAGGAAAACAAGGGCGTGGGGGAAGGGCTTGGGGGCCTCCTTCTGACGCAAGATCGACGCAGGATCGACACAGAATCGACACAACATCGACGGATCGAGACAATTTCGACTCAACGTCGACAAATCGACTCAACATCGACACAGCTTCGACTCAAAATCGACGCATCGACACACGATCGACACAGGATCGACACAGAATCGACACAAGATCGACACAGGATCGACGCAGAATCGACACAGGATCGACACAGGATCGACGCAACCACGGAGTGTCGACGCAAGATCGACACAGGATCGACACAGGATCGACGCAGGATCGACGCAGGATCGACGCAGGACCGACGCAGGATCGACGCAGACTCGGCGCAGGAACGACGCAGGATCGACGCAACAACGGGGTGTCGACGCAAAATCGACACAGGGTCGACACAGGATCGACTAAGGATCGTCACAGTATCGGGCGTTAGTCTCGAGTATCTAGATGCCCGAACTCGGTATGCTACCAAAGCTGGGTTCGAACAAATATTTGTACTCTGCCATGTTTTAAGAGATTTTGATGGCCTTCATGAGGTAACTCGGGCTGCTGATAAGCTACAAAGCTGTATGGTGGAGCTGTCGACAGGAACTAAATCACCAGAAGCGCTAGTTTCAAGTATCTAGATGCCCGACCTCGGTCTGCCTCCTGAGTTGCAACGCAGGATCGGCACAGGATCGACGCAGGATCGTCGCACCTGCAGGCGGGCGTACATCCGACGTCGTCATTTGTTCAAAACGTCGGCCCCTGGAGGTCTGGAGGCCTTCCCTGGGACCGAATTTTCGTACTGAGTCCTTTCTTTTTGACGGTCCCAGGGCCCTGTGAGGGCCCCCAAAGGCCGATAATGACGAACAGCCTCCCGTCATGATGTTTTCACGACGCCAGGATGTGTGGCGTGGTAACACGCTGCCGCGCTTTGCGTCTCAAGCCAGAGACTTTCGAAGCCTGAGATTATCGCTCGATCTTGCGCCACCGGCCGCCATGGTGAATGAAGGACCGCCGACCCCGGAGGCGGTCAATGCAGCGATGGAGGATGTGCCCACAACGGGCCCCCTGGCGAGCAGCTACCGGCGCACCTTGCGGGAGATGAAAAAGAAAGGCGCGGATGTGGACCCCGATGGCCCTGTGCATTTCAAGCTCTGCGGGGCCTTGAAGAAGCTGGGGCTCACCAAAATTGACATGCGCACGTTCAGAGAGTGGGCCGACAGAGTGACGCAGTTCGTCAAAGAAGAACGGGAGGTGTGGCTGGTGCAGAAAGAGGCTTTCCCGGATGTGGGGAAGGACAAAAAAGTCAGCTTCTGGCTTCTCGGGCCCAGCGAGGCCCAGGGGGTCGACCACGACAGGGTGTGGGTGTTGGATGCTCACGCCCCCGCCGGGCCGTGCATGCGCGGGGCCCTCAGGCGCACGATCGGTTGGAAAGCTGCAAAGGACAGGGGCTCGAAGAAGCCGCGCCTCGAGGATGGCGACGCCCATGCTTCGGGGCAGAGCTGCGGCGCCGAAGTCGCCGCAGGGTCCGGCCCAGCGGCGGTCGCGCAGGGCATGGCACCGGCCCCGGCGGCTCTGGCAGCGGCTTCGTCGGGCGTGGCGCCGGGGGGGGCGGAGGCGGCGCCCGAGCGGAAGCGGAGGAAGACTCCGGCCGAGCACGTCAGCAGCGAGGACGACGACGACGTGTCCATCAAGACCCTCCGGTTGGACTGCCAGAAGGCTTGCGAGGCCGGCCGCTTCTACGTGCCAGGAGAGACGGACACGGCCCATTTCCGGGCGAAGATGTACGTTGGCAACTTGAAAAAACAGAAGGCCGAGCACATGAAGAGGGATTCGGAGAAATCGTTTGCTGATGAGCTGTCCGTTGAGTCTAGGTATTTCTTTCAATACCTCGCCGATTGGATCTTGAATGGGGAAGACGCACGAGGTGATCGGCCACTTCGCGCCGCTCTTCCGCGAGGCCAAGGAGCTGCACCCCGCCCTGGTCCCGAAGATTGCGCAGGCGATCTGCAGCATCGGCGAAGTGGACCTCCTGGGGCAGTTTTCGGGCTCAGAGAGCGAGCTCGAGAAGTACGGCCTTCCGCCGAAGCACATCTCCGCCCTTGCTGGGAGCCCGTTCCTGGCTGGCTTCCGGAAGGCCCGGTTCGAGGCGCAATTCGCCCTGGCGAAGACAGCCAGCTCGTGGCGCGGCGCGTCGCCGGGCCCGGCTGCGGAGCAGCCCGGCGGCGAGCAGCCAGGTTCTGCACGAGCGAAGTGGGCGCGGAAAGAATGGGTAGAATGCCCAGCAGCGGATTTGGTTCATTTTGAACAGGACTCGCTGTCCACGCCGCCGCGGCCTGCGTTCTTTCGAGAAAGAATGCCGCCTGCCCAACAGCGGCCGCTGTTGGTTTGGGACAACATTTGTTGTTGGGCATTGTGCCCATCCTTTCCGTGCCCAGTTCGGGCGCCCGCGCAGGCGGCGAGCAGCCGGGCGGCGAGCAACCCGACGGCGAGCAGCCCGGCGGCGAGCAGCCAGGTTCTGCACGAGCGAAGTGGGCGCGGAAAGAATGGGTAGAATGCCCAACAGCGGATTTGGTTCATTTTGAACAGGACTCGCTGTCCACGCCGCCGCGGCCTGCGTTCTTTCGAGAAAGAATGCCGCCTGCCCAACAGCGGCCGCTGTTGGTTTGGGACAACATTTGTTGTTGGGCATTGTGCCCATCCTTTCCGTGCCCAGTTCGG